GTATTTCTGTTTAGGAAAAAAAGCTTCGCCAGTCTCAATCTGTCTGAAATTCAACCTGGATAAAGCGACATGCTATTAGGATCGAACAAAGCATTCGATATCACAAAAACTCCGCTAGAGGCAGGCGCAAGTCAGGCTGTCACGATAGGACAACAGGGAAGAAATAAAAGTACGTTTGCAGAAAAAATGTTTACAGATTGTGTGAACGTCGTATGCGAACCTCGTGCGATACTTTTCAGCAAAACCATCGTATTTTTTTTTAACCATGGCATCACCTATCAGTTAACAATCTATTAAACGAAAAAAAAATATTATATATGTATATTTAATTTAATCCAATAATAATTATAACAAAATCTACAAACAAGCTAATTGTAGGTAAATTGATTCGGTGTTGTGCTTTGCAGTAACATTATTTATGTAGTCCAAAAAACGGCGCGTGAGCTTTGCAGGGCTAAAAATAACAATTGCGATAACTTATTGCAGCCAGGTGCCGTGCGAATAGTGGATTATTATTATTATTATTGTTTATGTGAACCAGGTGAAGTTTTGGTGTCAATAGTGCATTTGGTTCATCGAAGGGTCTCCGCCCGCTGGACCTCTGATGAACTGAAGATCGGCTAATTTTAATATAAGCAATAAATAAATACTAAGCATTTGTACATATTTTGGCAAAATACATAGTTAACGCCAATCGCTTTGCAAGTTTGGGTATTTGGTCGGCTTTGGCCCCGCCAAGAATTCCGTTTTAAACTTACGCTAGCTTTCCAATCCGACACAAATTTTGATTTAAGTAATATATATATATAATCAAATCGAGTCTTGTGGACTGCGTTCTTAACAACCACGAGCACAGTTACGTCAATCAATGTTGTCTACCTTTCGTGCTAGACACTGTAGCCTGGCATTTAATAGCCAGACGTGGACACCCTGTCGCGGTTCGTAACGTGTTTTGACTAAAGCACCTGGGAACTATCGTTGTTGTCACTTGTTGTTGTTGTTGTTGTTATGACTATTACAACTATAGCTACTACGGTTACCACCATGACTACATCAACTAATAATCGGTAACCGGTCTGGGGCCGCCCTCTCATTCTCACCCACCCTTCCTCGCGTGGGGTATAATATGGACCTTCTTCACTCTCCCCTACATTCATCAACATCAATTCATATAATAGTAACAGTTGGCTAGGAAACGAACGAACGAACGAACGAACAGCCTAGATTAGCACGACTGTCGGATGATTATTGCTCTTTTAATACATTATATATATATAGCCTATTGTCGTATACCTGGGACGACCCAGATACATAACCATTTGCATCATAATCGTTGCTATTAATATCGTACCATAATAGATGTCAGTAGTATTTTTCTTAATCGTTATAGCTACATTATATTAGTCAACGATGAATCCCAGCGCGCGATAATTCAAAAATGTTCACGTAATCACATTCATAGAAGGCTGCGTTAGAAAAAGAGGATACTTGATATCTAGAGAATTTGAGAATGACATGCTCAGTGTCAACCAGTTATTATCTCTGCTAATATTGCCGACTTGATCATATAGTAAATTCGTATTCAAAGCTACCTCGTTCGAAGCAAACACCTCTCTCTTACTATATATTATTCAACAGTTGATGAATCAACAAACAATTGTCCAAACATCGGCCTATTGCGTTGAGTACATTTAGCAGGCCAACAGAATAACGGTCCTTCGTAGCTATTCTTCAATATAGTTAACATGCTCACACACGCCCTTTTGAGTCTCCTTTACATGCCAGAAGTATTGCAATAATAATAATAATAATAGCAGCATTTTAATCGTTGCATGTTGAACTTGTTTTCGCTTCCTTGATTAGAGTGTCTCGTTTTTTTCCTTAAGGAATCGATCCTTTTCTAATCGGTCAACCGTTTGTCAATTTTGTAGATAGCTTTATCCCTACTTCCTTTTTTAATATTATTATTATTATTATTATTATAATAATCAGCATCATTTATCTTTTAGCATCATTTTTTCTGTCAGTAGTTGCACTGTTCGTTGTGGTTTCAACTTTGCCGTTTGTGCCGTGCCGTTCGCCTGAGTGTCCTTTCATTTATGAATTGACTTTTGTTTATAGTGGGATAGCAGGACTAGGGTAAAAGAGAAGCACAATTACCACTACCTCTGCGAGAACGCAAGACAAATCTGGGAGAGGATGTCCGCTATGTGACAATCTGATTTTCGTAGTAGGGTTTCGCCCGTGTCCGGCTTCTGCGAATATATATATATATATATAGATCTGTGTGGTATGTTCGTTATAATAATATAATTTCATCAATCAAATGTCATTATTATCACTTAGCCGGCACGTTTTAGCTCTGTACACAACTTTGCTTGAGAGAGCAAAGTGCTACCTCGACGACGACGTCGATTTCCTTTTGGGGGTTTTTACAGACGGTATCGAGAGGGAGAGAGGGAGGGAGGGAGGGAGTGCACGTGCAGGCTGTACAATTGGGTTTACCCCAAGTTTTTGTGGTAATAATGATAACTGGTGATTTTTTTAAAGGTATTAGCGAATATAATTTCGTGGAAAAAAAACCATTGTTCCAACTCTTCTTCGACTCGGTGTATGTCCAACGTTATTTGTGGGAGAATAACATAGCGTAGAATAACATCACAGACAATTCTAAACGCTATTGTTAAATTCCGAAGTAAAATCGTACTAGGATAGCAAGGCAATCGAGTAAACAGATATCAGTGATCAGACCGATTGACTTTCGAGCATTCTCTCACGTCATAATAGACCTTATCAGCTGTAATAGCGGCCGCGCTTTCGGGTCAAGCTTTACAGTGGCGATTGATCAGCTCTGATCAATCTAAGTGGTATGGCATCATTGGCATCGAAAGATGTCAGAGTAATATCTCGTGACGAACTTTATGAAACATCATAACTGCTGAATAAATTCCATTTCAGGCGCTTGGAGTTGATATACGTGTGTCTATTTATATTTGTGGCCATTGGATGGATTTGGTGCGTAATTCTAGTGGCTTTTTATTATGTTTTTTGTCGTCTTAATATATCACAATTTGGCAACAGCGGAAATGGCATGGCAAAGGCGAACGGCATTTGCGACGAGTCTTTCGGCTCCTTCGGCGGTCTCATCAAGAAAGTGTTCAAGGGGAAAAACTTGGCACACTACAATCGAGTACTTGTCTACAAAATTATAGCATTTTCAGGGTAGATAGCAGGTCAATCATCTTAATAATAATAGCTGGTATTATCATTAATTTGTATATATATATATATATATATATATATATATATATATATATATATATATATACTAGAATAAAGGTATTCAAGAATATCCTTTCTGCTTGTTTTTGTTATTGTCGTCGATTTGTATGGCATATTATAGCGTTCAGTTAGGTATGTATATATCATCGTCTGCATCATTACGATAATAGTATCTGCAATAATATAATAAGGTAACTATCACATCTAATCTAACTAATAAGTTAGTTTCTATTATATAGCAGATGTTAGTAACACTTCAATATCCAGCTCTTAATTTCTTCTCAGATGCCGACAAAAACAGCTGACGGAGCCAACTGACGGCCACCTGAAGCGCGAAGCTGGACGAACTTAACTGCCCCCACCCCACCCCCCCACCCCACCCCCGTTCGTTAAATCCTTTTCATTTATATATTCGAGTAGAAATTATACTGAAACTGTTAATGCTAACTTTCAACTTGTGACCATGGTTTGTTGTTCTATGTCAACGTATGTTTTTCGCCTTATGTCGTCCGCCAGCAAATTCGCTTTCATCTGCATGGCATCGTCTGATTGCGTGTTTACTTATTTACTTGCGTGGTCCTTGATGCTTGGAAACTGTACGAATATTGTTGTCCGTATATTGTATATGTTTTCTTTCTGTACTGTGTTAATTTATAGGCGAAAAAGTCTGTGTGTGTCTGTGGTTTGATATAATTAACAACTGCCTCGTGTGTCATAGGAACTCAATTGTCCCAGAGCGCTGGGCTGTGACGAGCTCATACTTTCCAACAAATAATTATGGCTAACGATAGAGCTCTCCCAACGCTAGACGTTTTTTTGCATTCCATCATCATTAATATTATTAATCGTATAATTATATTGTTATCCATATTATTTTATATTACTATATATATTATTTTATAATAATTATTCTCTCTCCATGTTTTATATTATTGCTTGTAGTTTCAGGATGATCGGCTGCTTGAACGGGTATACCGCTTGCATTCTTCTCTCAGCTTGCTAGTCTCTCTGTATGTGTATATATATATATATATATATACGCTCGAATACAGCCGATCAACATTGTAGGTCAGCGCTGTTTTTTGACGACTGTTTTTAAAACAGTTTTTATTTTCATGTTTAACAATTGCTCCTTTTGCTGTGATTCTCGTCGCTTGTGGTGTGATGTGACTCGTTTGCCAGAACGATTTTTTCTACATATATATATATATGGCTGTAATCGTCCTATTTACTTTTTCCTTGCTTTGCAAGTCAACATCAAGCTTCTGCCATGCTCTTGGCTTCTGTCTTATTTGTTTTTTTGCAGGTGAGTGGTCCTTGGCACTGCAGCCAGGTCTAGCTTGACACTACACTGGTAATCGTGTGTTCTATTTGCTGCAGTAACCGTCTTCATTGTAACTGCAGTCTAGTACTAAGGCGTGAGGCCTGGAAAGTGCAGCCGGTGTCCTTCCGGATCGTCGGAATAGTTTTCTTGTGTTTTATCTTCATCTCAAATTTCCAGTATGTAGAATGCATGCTCGCCATTCGCTCTTCGTTGCTTTCCAACGAACTCTGTTGATTATCCGCCTTGCTTATGCTTTTTCATTATCACTTCTTCCCCTCAATTAACAGTTTCATCACCCCGGCTGCAGTGTAGTATTGAAATGACTCATGAAAATAAGATCGCATCGTCGGAAGATATTGGATTTGTGATGAACGCGAGGCTGACGCCGGCTCACTCCGGCTGTAGCGAAGAGTGGAAGGCGTGCGCGGCCTGATTGGCGATTGCTGCGTATTGTTGTACGACGGGCATTAAGTGCCGATCCATATGTTTCCGCAGATTAGATCGCTGCGTGGCACGATAATCACAGAAGTCGCATTTGAATGGCTTCTCCCCTATACACGTAATATGAAAGAACAACGAATTAACTTGATTGACCAAGTCGCAGGGGAAACCATGTTTCATAGTTACTTTAAATTCTACGTAGAGGACACAGAACAGACGACGAGACGAGTTGACGTCAGTACTCTAGGTAGTTGTGGTAGCTTTCAAAGACAGCAGATAAAAGCGTACTAGAAAATTCAGGTGGGGTCTAGATTACGGTTGCCTTTTTGAGGGCAAGCTCGTGAACCCATATTTACCTGTGTGCGTCCTGATGTGATGCGTAAGGACGTGCTTGTAGACGGTTGAGTATCCACAGAAGTTGCACACGTGCTTCGATCCTCCGGTCGTTGAAGCTTCCCGATGGCCTGAAAGCACCAGGTATTTCAACAAACATTGATCGATGGCTAGCTAACTAACCAGCATAATTTGGTCGTTCCCACACGGGCGATCTCACAAACATGTGTCCCTACTATACAATACCGTAGCTAACACCCACCACGTTGCCTTTCAACGTTGCCACAGGAACCAAAGTAAGTTATTTTCCAGCTCTAGTAAGCTAAATCAGTCAGATGTCCATTGTTAGATATAAGAATTATGAATGATCGCTAACTTAGTTTTAGCTCGCACACCCACAAAGGGAGTTGCCCAAGCAAACGCACTATAATCAGCGAATCTTAGCTAGTTATCCTCAGTATTTCATCCTTTACTTTCAACCTTATAGGGATGAAATTCTGAAAGATAAAAATAACATTTAACGGATTCATGGTGGTCAGATGTAGTGTTTATTTACAAGAAAGTTGTACAGCGGTACTTGTTAGCGTTTTTCGGTGGATCATCACTAAACCAGTAATGTATCATTACATTCTAGTTAGATGTTTGTTGTTTTCCATGATTTTCAATAATATCGCCCTGTATCTGCCATTTTATGACAGCTATAATAGAATACACCCATATATATATATATATATATATATATATATACCTCTAACCCTAAAATAACGGTACATATAATTTGGCGAGGGAACAGGTAAAACAACAGCAGAAGCCCCAAAAGCTCTTCACCAGAACCGTGATTTCGAAGGATCACACACTGCGAGATCGACTAATAACCGAAGCTGGGACGAAAAGTGCCCGGCAATGGGTATATATATTATTTATATAGATAGATCCTGCGAACATGCTGGTAGTAAAACAATACTGTTGAACTATTGTCATTATATGTTGTACTCGCATCGCGAGTACATCGCATGGCGAGATAAACAGCCGAATGCAGCAAAGGAAAATCACAAGGCTTGGTAGAAAAAGATAAATTCATCGCCCACTCATCAAGAACCCTTCAGCATGGCAGGGGGGTGCAAAGAATAAAGCCATCATCTATCTCAGTAACGACAATGATGCGATCGACGACGACGGATCGATGATTGTTGATATTAATTCTATGCATCCTCCGCGCGTTACGACCTATTCAGAGGCTGGTCGATGATGATTAATGCAACGCTCTTCTGCGGGTCTTAGGGCAGGATTCGACGCACTGTAAGAACAATACGACGTTAGAATGGTTCTATTAGGCTAAAGCTCATGGAAACAACCTTTCAAATTTTACTTTTTGCGGGTACTTTATAGAACCTGTATTTCCGCTTGAAATGATCGAGCCTCGTCTGGTTGTATCCTAAAATGTACACTTTTGATTCGTCTTGATAAGATGATCACCTCTTCTCTTGTTCTTTGTTTGTCACAACCGAACGATAATTCCAAATTGAATGGTCTATATAATAAAAGCATATATACATACATAATCTAAAATTATGAACTCTGTAAATCCGCAATGTAGTAATGATAGTTTTATTTATTTAGTTTGAGGTAGATAATGTACAAGAATAGCAATACTGTGAAGCCATTGGACTGATCACAATGATTGTACATCTGCACAGTATTTTATCTTCCGAATACAGCGGTGTTAGTGGTACATAGAGGTACATAGAGAAGTTAATGAAATTCTTGCAGTTACGTTATGGCTGTATCATAACTAGATTTTGGTTCATGGATCGATTTTTTTGCCCATTTCTCATTTCTTACATATGGCTTTTGCTAGTTATCGCTATGACGGTCACTACAGTATATAATATTTGTTATCAAAATCGCTGTTTCTGTCTACTGGTTTGTCTTTTTAGCCAGAGATCGATGCCTGGCTATGTGTGTACAAGCGGTTAACTCTTCTAGACCGGTGTGGGAAATAGAAAGTTTATAGATTGGCTGATTTTTTCTTGCTAGATAGTTTTAACATCGTTAAGTAGAAACGACAAGAACTGTTCTAGCTGTACTGGTATGAGAGGAGTGGGTCCATAAAAAAAATTGGATTGCCCATCGCCTCACGTGGGGTTGCTACTTTTTGTACGGTATACAAAAACGCAAAATCCCATATTTGGCCTTTTAAAAACACCCATATAAAGCTACTATATAGGAAAGGGTGGAGGTTTGAAGAAGTTGCTCAAAATACAAGTCAGTATCAGCCAAATCTATACTCGACGATGAAGCATGACGTTTTGCCGTATTTCGGCTATTGTTTCTCTAACAAAAGGCACACAACCATCACTTCCGAGCGCCATAAAGAACGTACATTAAGAAAATCATGATATTGTATAATACGAGATAGCTTACCATATTTGTCACAAGCCATTATAGGCTTATGGGGTAGAAACTACCTTTAGCAAAAGTTAAGCACTGCCTACAAAGTACATGCAGATAGGCCGGCTAAGCGTGCATGTACGCGTAGATAGAGATGCTTACGAGAATAGAGAGGGACTTTACTCTTCTATTTAAATATCGCCGCATGCCTCA